CCACCGGGACTGCTGGAGAGCATGCCCTTAAACAGTTAAAGATGTTTGCAAATACTGCAGCGTGTTTGGTGTCCACGGTGTTTGAAGAGTCCTAAGAAGCCCATGAGGATGGTTTCCTGCGAGCTTCTGCAAAGTGGCAGAGTGTGACATGTCCCCACCTGTTTTACCACCCTGGTACCAGGGATCTTTCTGTTACAGCTGGTTTGCACCGGGATTAGCTGCTTTTTGCATTAGGTTGTAGCTGTGGATGTGGTTTCTGTAGTGATGGGGCCGACTCCAGAGATCTATTGGCTGCTGGCTTTGTAGATTTCATTCAGTGTGCTCCAATAGCAGAGGAGAGCCCGGAGACAGCAGGACCTCTCTCCTCAGTCTCTCTTTTTCTTGCAGACCCGTCTGTCTCCCGTCTCTGTGTCTTAGCACAGAGCTCTTATTCAGACTTAGATCTGTCCTTCCTGCTGCGAATTGTGATGATTTTTTTTTCTTCCCGGCCACAGACTATTGAAGGCAGAAACAACGAATTTCCTGCAAACGGTGGTGTCGGTGGCCCTTACATTCCTTTGGAAGAGCAGATTTAGTTGGGGTTCCAGGAAGGAAAGGCGCCTGGACTAAAATACATCCTCTTGAATCATACCCTGGGTTCGGGTTCCCTAGAAAAATCTGGATGTGAAAGAAGAACTCTTAGAGCTGACTTGTTTTTCACCGCTAAGGTAGGTGCAGTTTTAAGATGTGTCTATGGGTTATTATCATCATTATTTTTTAAATGCCGTTTAAACATTTTGACTTGCTGATACTCTCCAGCAACCGAGGGAAAGAAGCCTGACTGCAGACATTTGAGTTTCATTGCATCTGACATTTATTTATTTTTTCCTTTTATATTGAAAAATTGGACAGGACTTTTNGGGGAGAGGAGGGAAAAAAAAAAAAATATATATATATATATATATATACATATCTGCAGTACAGGGAGAGAAAGACCAAAGCGCCAGTCCTCTGCAAACCGGGACTGGAGATGGTGAAGACAGCGCACTTCTGCAAACTGTAAGCAACTGGGGGCTTTTCTTTCCTTTCTTTCTATTCTGTGTCGTTCGCCCCTCCCCCTTGTTCTTTAAGAAAACTGTCAGCTACCAACGCCTAGGGTGCTTTTTTTTTTTTTACAAAAAGGGGGGTTAACAAAGGAAAAAGGAAAAGACAGGTTTGGCTGGAATTGCATTAGGCGATTTATTTTTTTTTTTTTTCCCTCCCCTCTCCTTCATCTGCGGGCCTCGGATAAAATGACGGCTTGTGTGTGGCACGAAATAGCGCACGTGATTGATGAGGACCCGGCTTGGGTTTGCTGGGGAGCGATCCCGGGCGCGCTGGAGACCCCGGGTGCAGACGGAATGACGGTGGCTCAGCGCTGCTTCTGCAAAGCTGGGGAGAGGACTGCGTGCACCCCTTTTGTCGTGTGCTTGTGGGGGTTGTTGTTGGGGGGGGGCAAGCCGTGGAAGGGTGACAGCTGGCGGTCTCGCTTCTTCGGGAGCCTCTGAATCTGGCCTGGGCAAGGCAGCCGCCGTCCGGAGCCTCATCCCCGAGCTGCCCGCTGTTCCCGGGGAGCGGAAAAGTTGGTAGCTGCGGGCACAGGCGCCTGGAGCCCTGGCCCGGCTCTCGGGGGATCCACAGAAAACCCTTCTCAGAGGCACAGCCGGTGACACGCACGGTCCGCCAGTCCCCGAGGTGGGGGTAGGGGTCTGGGCACGGGGGTCCAAGAGGAGGACCACCCCCAGGGCCTCGGACAACACAACAGNCGCAGCCCTGGGCCCGGGCGCACCGTGCCGGCGCCACCTCGCCGCCGGACACAGCGTCCTTTCTTCCCGGGGCGCGGGGGCGGGAGTTGGGGGTCATGCCGAGCCCCGCACCCGGAGGTCTGGCTGGGGACCACCCTGGGAACCGACGTCCCGCTTGCAGGGCCAGGGGCGCCCGGAGGACGTCCTCTGCTTGTCCCCGACTCCTTCCCGATCGGTTTTTTTTTTTTTTTTGGCTGCAGGTTTCCTTTTTTCTGGCTCCTTCCTTGGAAGCAAGTGGCAGGTGTGGGCACATTTTTATTAATTTTCGGAGCCACCGTGCTGCTCTCTCCGGGGTGGCGGGGGCGGGGAGAGGTGCGGGAGGCTGCATCGGGGGTCCCGGGAGGTGGCGGGTTGGGGGGGTGGCCCCCTCCGCGCGCCGGGGCTGGCAGGTTGCACCAGCTCGGGGTGCGCGCGCAATGAATTCAACCGAGTGCACCCGAGAGTCTGGGCTGAGCGGGGACAGAAGATCCCCGACTGTCATTTGGACCCAACTTAAGAAATTTGGGGTGAGGTTTGAGCGGGGGTTACTGAACTAAGCAGGTGTTGTTCTTGCGAGCCGAATCCACAAGGTGGTGGTATGGATTCTTTTTATTTTATTTTATTTTACTTTACTTTATTTAATTATTTTATTTAATTATTTTATTTTCTATTTGGTCAGTTTGGGGTGAAACGTTTTTACGTGCTCATATCCTATGCTTTTGGAAGGGATCCATTGCAGGCAGGATTTGCACCCCGAGCGCGTTGCATTGAACTGTTCTCTGTAAGCGGCAGGGACGTTCTGAGCCCTAGCTCCCATCTCAGCATCAGCCCTCACCCCGTGATTTAAGGGATGCAAAGAAAAAAAAAAAAAGATAAGAAAAGCAAAGAAAAAGTTTCGGGAGACCTAGTTGTCCTGACGAAGCAGATTTGCCAGTTTGTGTAGGCGTTCTGCGGGCATCACACAAGTACCTGCTTAAGAAATCGTTGACAGGTACCTTCTTCCACTAGAAATTAGATGACCGGGATAGAAAGACCTGCCTTGGAAGACGAACAAAGCAGCCTCGCCTGGGAAGAGAGCTGCACGGTTTGGATTGACATACTTAGCGTTTGCCCAGAGAATGGCAGAGTACAGAGAAACGATCAGATTGCAAAGAAATCTGCATTTTTGTGTGGGCAGCTCTGGGGAGTAGAGAATTATTTCATGCCTTTAGTTGGCTGCTGGGAAGACGTTAACAGTCATCCTGTAAATCCTCACCGTAGATTTTCCTGTGTCCCTGGACCAGAAGGTGGTGATGGTGTGGGGGGAGGGCTTAGTAATGGTGTGTGGTTGTATCAATTCCATATTTCCAGAAAAAAAAATGGAATTTTTATTTGTCCTGAAATTAAGAACACAAGAATTTCATGGTGGCTTCTGCAAACATGCATTTGCTCAGATTAGAAATTCAGTATTCCATTACCCAAGGAAATGTAGAATGAATGTGTGTGTGTGTGTGTGTGTGTGTGTGTAATATATATATTTACACACACACACACATATGGCAATTTTAAAGAGTATCTTCCTTGACATGTAAAGGCTTTAATCAGGGCCAATTGTAGCAAGTGGAAAATTACTTCATCAGTTTTAAATCACTGGATTGAAATGAGAGGTTTGATTTTTTTTTTTTTTTAAAGCCAGAATGATTTCAAGCAGGCATTTAATGATAATTGCATTTTCGTAGTAATGCCTGGTCCTGCATACTGTGCTTTTATATTCTTCTAGGATAATTGTGGAGGAATTGTAGCTTTC